CCGACCCTTGAGCCCTAGGATCAAGCCAGGATGTGGCCAGCTCTGGGGAATGTCTGAGCATAACACATCCCAAGCAGGGGCAGAGATACAGTCAGGTCTGGGCCTAACACCTGCCTCTCCCATAAGAGATGAGCTATAGCCAGCTGTGGGGTGGAACACCTGAATATAAACACCCCCTCAGCAAGGGTTGAGACACAGCTAGCTCTAAGGTGGAATTGCCAAGTATAACACGCCCCCTAGCAGGGCTGAGATATACCTAGCTCCGGGGTGGAGCAGTAGGGACAGACAGCTAAGTGGAAAGTCTACCTGGCCAGGCTGGTGCAGGGAATCTGCAGTGGGCAGCAGGGTGGTACCAGCAGCTGCCAGGTGGCCAATCAGGGAGCCCAAGCCAGGTCTGGAGCCCAGCAGGAGGCACTACAGGACCCCAAGACATGTGGTGGCTGCACCCAGGGTCTCCCACTGCTGCCCTGCCACAGCCTGCAGCTCCTGGAAGGCTGCCTGGATACCTAGGGGCAGAGGGTCATCAGCCACCCCCTGCTCTCAACCCCCACCAGGTTTCTGGGCTCCCAGCCCCCTGCCTTTCCACACACACAGACACACTCACCTCCAGCCCCTACTCCCCTCCTGAAGAACCCAGGTGTATGTAGGGAGATTGGTGGGGGGCAAAGGGGGGGTCAGGACTTATCATGGGTAGAACCCTGCAGGGCCAGCTGCAGCTGTGCTCCCTGGTACAAGAGCTGGGCCTGTACCCACCATGCCTAGCACTGGACCCAGGCCATGGCCTCAGCCAGCTGTTGGGCATCCTCCGGCTGGCACCATGCCTCCTCTGCGCTGGCCAAGAGCCTGGGTGGAGAGCAGGGGTCAGGACCCAGGCATCCAGGCTCCCAGCCCCTCCTGCTCTTGCCCTCCAGCCCCCACTGTTCTCCCAGAGATCCCAGACATCTTGTGGGTTGTACCCTGGGCCAGCTGCTGCCAGAGAACCTAGGTGTCTGGGTCCCCCACCCCTGCCCCATGTAACCCAGGTGTTCAGGCCCCACTCTCCCAAACTCCAGGGAATCCAGGCATCCAAGCCACTCCTAAGCCTTAGAGAGCCTGAGTCAGGGCCCCATCCCCAGAGAACCCAGGCATCCCAGCTGACCTGTGAGTGGTGCTGTGGGCTCAGTGGTATCAGAGCTCAGCCAGCAGGAAGAGGCAGATTCCAGGCACATGGGCGAAGCACTGGGTGTAGGCGCTGAAGGCGGCAGCATCCATCCTCTCCGTGCAGGCTGTCACTGGGGCCCCTGCCCGGCATGCGGGAAATGGGCAGCCCAACGTGCCATCATGTCTCAGCCAGGGACCCCAGGATCCTGGAGTCTAGAGCCCATGATCCAGCCCACTGGACTCTGCTCCCCTCCCAGAGAACCCAGGCAACCAGGTTCCCAGCTTCTACCCCTGCTCTCCACCCTAACCTCCCACTCCACTCCCAGAGAACCCAGGTTCCCAGCCCCCACAAATCTAACCCACAAGGTTCCACTCCCTTTCTGAAGAACCCAGGTGTCCAGGCCCCCAGCCCTGCCTGCTCTCACCCCCAACCTCCCCTTCCAGAGAACCCAGGCATCCAGGATCCCACCCCTTGCTCTCCGCACCAAGAGAACCCAGGCATCCAGCCCTGCTGGTCTTTCCCCCCAGCCTCCTCTCCTCTCCCCTCCCAGTGAACCCAAGCATCTGGGTTCACAGCCCCCCTGCCTCCCCCGCTCTCACCTTCCAGCCCTCACTGCTCTCCCAGAGAACCCAAGCAACCAGGCCCCCAGCTTCTACCCCTGCTCTCCAAGCCCCCCAAACCTCCTATTCCGCTCCCAGAGAACTCAGGCTCCCAGCCCCCACAAATCTAACCCATGAGGTTCCACTCCCTTTCTGGAGAACCCAGGTGTCCAGGCCCCCAGCCCTGCCTGCTCTCACCCCCAGTCCCCCCCTCCAGAGGACCCATGCATCCAGGCTCCCACCCCTTGCTTTCCCCACCCAGATAACACAGGCATCCAATCCCCCCGCTCTTTCCCCCCAGCCTCCACTCCCCTCCCAGTGAACCCAAGCACCTGGGCTGCCAGCCCCCACCCCTGCTCTCACTTTCCAGACCTCACTTCTCTCCCAGAGAACCCAGGCATCCAGCCCCCACAAATCTAACCCACCAGACCCCACTGAACTCCCACAGAATCCTGGCATTGGGGCTCCCAGCTCCAGGGAACCCAGGCATCTTGTCCCCTACCCTTGCTTCTTAGAGGTGGGACCCAGGCGCCCTTATTCTTTCGTTTACTTCCTAGAGGGGAACTGAGGTGTCCAGGCTCCTAACTCTATGAAACCCAGGTATCCTGCCCCTCCCCCCCAACCCCACAGAAAGGGGAAATCCAGGCACCCTGCCCCCCTTCCCTGTCCTACAGAGGGAACCCCAGTGATCCACATCCCCAGCTCCAGGGAACCCAGAAATCTGGGCCCCCAGCCCCAGAGAGCTCAGGCATCTGGACCCCCAACTCAAGGGAATCTAGGCACCCAGAGGGAACCCATCATCCACACTCCCAGCTCCAGGAAACCCAGGCTTTTTGCCCTGCGCCCCACTCCGCCATCTTAGTGGGAAACCCAGAGGTCCGGGCATACCTCTGAAGGTAGCAGTGGGCAAAGGCCAGGGCCAGGTGGCTCTGCTGCTCAGCACTCAGCCCACTGTACCCAGCATCCACCCTGGCCAGTGCCCACTCCCAGCAGGGCCCATAATGGGGGTGCTGAGCCAGGGCCTGAGCCTCTGCTAGCTATGCCTGGCCCTGCACCAGGAACTGTGCATCCAGAACCAGCACCACCCAGGCCCCAGGCCCAGTGTCAGCAGCAGGACAGCAGCACTGGGGAGCTCCATACTTGGAGCACTGGAAACAGGACAGCTAAAAGGAAGATAACTTACATCAGGCCCAGCAAAGTTGGAGGGGCTAGAGGGAGCATATGAGGTCTACCCAAGTGAGCAACACCTATATGAAGCCCAACCAGATGGGCAGGGTTCATGCCTGCTAACCAACTGCCTGAAGTTTATATAAGGCCTACCTAAGTGGGTGGGGCTTACATGAGGCCCACTCAACTGGGTGGAGCCTGTTTAGAGGGGAACCAATGATAGTGGTGTCTCTGTGCCCACCCCGCTTACAGGTGGGATCAAATTAGACCAGACCCCCTAGGGTAATGATGTGGGTATGACCAAGCCCAATCAGAGGGCCAATGAAGGTGGAATTCCATGGAATTCCTTCAGAGGTGGGGTTAGAATAGGCTATGCCCTCTAAGGCAAAGTGAAATAGATGTGTATAGCTCTGCCCAGAAGGTGAGGAGCCAGATAAGGCCCTTGTGGGCTGTGTCAATTGTGGGAGGGGGAGCTGTGTAGGGCTCCATCCCCTTATGGGCAGGGCTTATCAGTGGAGCGTTCCACTCAGTGGAAGTCATAGATTTCATAAACATTAGGGCTGGAAGGGACCTCAGAAGATCATTGAGTCCAGCCCCCTGCCCAAAGGACAGGAAGTCAGCTGGGGTCATAGGATCCCAGCAAGATAAGCATCCAGTTTGCTCTTGAAGGTGTTCAATGTAGGCGCTTGAACCACCTCTGGTGGCAGGCTGTTCCAGACCTTGGGGGCTCGGACAGTAAAGAAATTCTTCCTTATGTCCAGCCTGAAACGGTCTTGTAGTAGTTTATGACCATTCGACCTAGTCATCATCCCTTGGGGCGCTCTGGTGAACAAACGTTCCCCCAGATACTGGTGGTCACCCCTGATAAACTTATAGGTGGCCAACAGATCACCCCCGAGCCTGCGCTTTTCCAGGCTAAAGAGTCCCAGGGCTCTCAGCCTGTCATCGTAGGGTCTGCTTCCCTGACCTCTGGTCATGCACGTGGCTCTTCTCTGGACTCTCTCAAGCTTCTCCACATCCTTTTTGAATTGTGGAGCCCAAAACTGGATGCAATACTCCAGCTGCAGCCTCACTAAGGCCGAGTACAAGGGGAGAATGACGTCCCGGGATTTGCTTGAGAAGCATCTATGGATGCAAGCCAGCGTTTTGGTCGCTTTACTAGCCGCAGCATCGCACTGCAGGCTCATGTTCATCTTGTGGTCAATGATGATCCCCAAGTCTCTTTCTTCCTTAGTGCTAGCCAACATAGCACTGCCGAGCCTATAAGGATGCTGCAGGTTTTTCTTCCCAAGGTGGAGAACCTTGCATTTATTGGCGTCCTACACCTTCATGCAAATGAATCGTGGGTGGGGCTAGGGGGTGAGGGTTTGGTCAACAGGAGACAATGTTGTCGGACACTAGGATTCATCACATGGGCAGGAGGAGGGGTGTCTCTGAGAAACCTTTAAACCCTGCCCCCCCTTTTCCTGTCAGAGTTGGTACATTCCATCTTTCTTGTCCTCAGCTTCCCCTAGGATGGGGCTGTGCTTTTTGGCCACACCCCTAGTAGAAAGCTGAGGGAGGAGGTGGGGGATGGGTGAAAAAACTACTATCCTGCGCCTGTGCACTGGCTTCACTGGGCTACCCAGCTCCTCCCCCAGTGTGGGTTCCTATTGGCTTGTCCCCTGCCTCCTGATCCGCCGCCAGGGAAGAGCAGATCTCTGATGTCCCCTTGTGTCCCATGCGGGGAAAGCGGTGATCTGAGCAGGGCAGGGAAGCTAACCAGGATTCAGTGTGGGCTGGCGGTGCCTAGACCATGGGAGTGGGGTTGGGAGGTCAGATGCCTGGGTTCTCTTGGAGGACAGTGCAGGATAAGTGATGAAATCAGGGAAGGGTGGGAGCATGAAGGCTGGGTTCTCTGGGAGGGGATTGGGGCCTGGGAGATGAGAGCAGGGGACATGAGAGTCCAGACATTTATGTTTCCTCTCTCAGATGCCTGGGATCCATCCTCCTTGCTTAGGGCAGGTTCAGCTGAAGCTGCTGAGGTGCCTGGGTCCCACAACTAGTTTGACCCCCACTCCTGTGTCCCCAATGAATTACACCCTCCCCACCCAGACCAAGCCAGTGCAAGTTTATTTCCAAGAAGGGGGGAGGAAGGAATCACCCCAAAACTTGGGGAAGAAGAGAATGTCTCATGCATCCAAGGCACTGAGATACTCCAGCCAGTTGCTCAGGGATGAGGTCTCCTGGGGGGGCTGCAGAAGGAGAGAGAACCCAGGTGTCTGGGTTAGCAGGGTGGGGAACTGGCAAGGGAGAGGCAGGTGCCCCCTACTCCCAACCTACATCCCACCCATTCCCCTCTGGAGCCTCCCACAGCCAGCCTGCCCCCCAGTGGTGCCCCTCAATCCCACTCCACTCACCTGGCCCAGACAGGGGAGGGGGGACCCTGTGCTCAGTCGCACTCCCCCATCCCCTGGGTAGCCCGGCTCCACCTCCAGGGTCCAGACTGCTGTAGGGCAAAGGAGTCGCAGGTGCCGCCTCTGGGGATCCCAGTCAATGGCGAACCTGGGGTGGGGGTGGAGGAGTTAAGTTAGGAGGAGCCCAAACCCTGGTGTTCCTTCCTGGCTTGGGGCAGGGAGAAAGAGGGCAACTAGAGCTGCCTAGACACCTGGGTTCTTTCCTGGACACCTGGATGCCCTCAATGCTTGGGGCAGAGAAGTGAGGAGCAACTAGGGTTGCCCAGACACCTGGGTTCTCGTGTGACTCAGGGAGGACAAGGGTATCCTGGGCTGGTTTCTCCCTGGGACACCTGAGTACCCTCCTGACTTGGGGCAGGGAGGTAGGAACCAACTATAGGCCTGCCTGAGTGCCTGGGTTCCCTCCCAGCTTAGGGAGACAGGGAGTCTGGACACCTGGGTTCCCTCCCAGGTTGGGGACAGAGGGAGCCCGTTTGCTTGGGTCCCCTTCTGACCAACACCTACCGATGCTGCAGCTCTGTGATCTCAGACAAGAGCTGGGCCTGGCAGCGGCGGCTCCACTCCAGCTCCAGGAGGGCGGGGCCAAGCCCAGGGGGCAGAGCCTTGGGGGGCAGGAACAGTGGGCAGCATGGCTGGGGGTAGGGATTGGGGAAGCGGGTGAGAGACAAGCCCTGCCCCTAGCCCAGCTGCCTCTCCCTCCAGCATAGCCCAGTCCATGGATCATCCAAGATCTCCTCCTCTGACCTAGCCCTGTTCCAGCCCATCCTTTTCTGGTCTAATCATGCTTCTCCTGCCTGGCCCCCCCTACGGCTCAAAAAAGGTGGGGCCCTTACAGTCTTGTCCTACCCCTTTTGACTTAGCTTCTTCCAAAGCCCCTGCTTTCTGGCCAAGCCCCACCCCCTCTTACCTGACTCCATCCGCTCCAGTCTGGACCTGTTACCAGCCCTTCCCAAACCCCTCCCTTTCAACATAGCTCCATCCCTCTTTAGCTAGCTTCTCTCCTCCAGCCTAGTCCTTCCTCAGCTCCTTCAAGTCCCATCTTCTCCATCACTGCCCCTCCCTCAAGGCCTTTAAAGCAGGGCAGTCCATAGGGGGTGCGAATCGTGGCGACCGCTCTGGGCCCCGTGCTTTGGGGGGCACTGCAGACAGTGCTGTACAGGCTCTGCCGCGGCTGCCATGCACTGCCAGCTCTGCCGCAGTCACCATACACAAGCTCTGCACTCCAGCTGCTTGCTATCCCCCGGCCCCACACAGGCTGATATGCCTTGGGCCCTGCACACCCCTAGGGACAGCTCTGCTTCCAAGCCCTGTTTTTGGCCTGGCTCCACCCCTTCTAATTTAGCCTTGCCCCCTCTGGCCCAGCCCCATTTTCTGTGACTCACCATGACCTCAACTTTGCCCCCAGATGCCTGGCACAGGGCAACCCGCAAAGGAGGGCCAGCGGCCTCGAGGTCCCCAGGGGGCGGGGCCCAGCTCAGCTCTAGCTCCGCCGCCTCAGGTGAGGTTCTGCCCCCCATGGGCAGGAGCAACCGAGCTCCCTGAAGGGTCTCAAGCAGGTGGCACCAATCCAGGGCCCTGGTGGGAAAGGGGAAGAGTCAGGATGCCTGGGTTTTCTGAGCACAGAGGGGGCAAGGGAGGCTGGACACCTAGGGTCCATGGGCAAGAAGAGCAGGAGAGCCCAGATGCTCCAGTTCTTTGGCCAGGGAAGCCCAGACATGTAGGTTCCTTAAAGCAGGGAGGGGATGGGGAGCCTGGACACCCTGGGGAGCAGGGCCTGGTGGGTTAAGGCGGGCAGGGGGAGGGCTTCTGGACACCTGGATCCATACTCACTGCTGGGCTGTGTCCCGCCAGGCCTGGGCTTCATCCTGGAGACTCTGCAGCTCCCCCTGGAGGTGGCTGCGCTTGGTGCAGTCTGATGTCACTTGGGCTCGGAGCCCTAACACCTGGGGTGGGGGGATGGGTTTGTAAGGAGCACTTCCCCCCCAGCCCCTAGATCTGCCCTCCTAGCCCCCCAAACCTGCCTCCCCCTGTGTACCTGCTCCTGCAGTAGTTGCTCCTGTGCTGCCCATTGCTTCTTTAATGCTCCCTGTCGCTGGGGTCAGATAAGAGGGGGGTCATATGAAGGGGTCACCCTGCAGGCTCTATGGGGGGAAAGAGGGGAGAGCAAGACCCTCCGGGTGTCCTTGGCTCCCCGCTCCAGCCCAGGAAGCCCTGCCATGAGTCCCCATCCCCTAACCCTGCCCCCACTCCAGGCTCGGAGGGTGTCAGGAGGTCCTGCCCCCAGGCCAGGATGCCCCACCCCTAACCAGGGCCCTGCCTCCCAGGCTGGGAGGCCACTCCCCATACTGTTGCCATGCCCTGAAGTCAAGAGGCCCCACTCCTTCCCCTTCCGTCCTGCCCCCAGGCCAGGAGGCCACATACTTCCAAGGTAGACCCATCCCCCACAGCCTAGAAGCCCCTGTCCTTGACTGTGTTCTCCTGGCTGGGAAGCCACATGCCCAATTCTGGCTCCATTGGCTATCAGGAGTCCCACTCCCACCTCAACCTTGGTCATGCCCCGAGCCTGGAAGGTCCCACACCCTAGCTTTGGCCTCACCAGCCCCAAAGCCCTGGCTACCTGGGAGGGGAATCTCAGCCCCTACCTGGTGCTGGTGGCGAGTGAGGGCATCCTGTAGGCACTGGGCTTGGCACTGGGCCCTGTTGAACTGAGCCAGGGCCCCTGGGGCTGCCTCTGTCAGCGCTGCTACCCCTGCCTGGTACCCAGCTTTCAGCTCCTTCCAGCATTGCTTCGCTGCTGTAACCTCTTGGCCTAGGGGGAGGGGGCAGAACAGCATGGGATCCAGGCCCTGTCTCAGGGCTGAAATGGAGCTGAGAGACCCAGGTGTTCAAACTTAAAGCCGCCTCTGTTTTTTATCTCTGCTCCAACTCACCAGGCTCCCACTCCCCTCACAGAGCTGGCAGAGGACCCAGGTGTCTGGGCACCCCCTCCCCACTGCCAGTAGAGGATCCAAGCATGTGTGTGCCCCTCCCCAGCCAGCAGAGGACCCAGACATCCAAGGCCCTCTCTCCCCCAGCACCCAGGGAACCCAAGTGTCTGGGGCCCTTCCCCACAGGGAACCCAGGCATCCACAGCAGCACCCCCAGCAGACCCAGGTGTCCAGCCAGCCGTGACTCACGGACAAGGGCATCACTGTGGTCCTGATTGGGGCGAGGGCCTGGGGCCTTCGCAAAGGCATCAAGGAGGAAGGCGACAACCTGCAGCTGCGAGCACAGGAGCTTCTGCTTCTGACGGGTGTCCTGGGGGTAGGGCCACAGCAATGAGGTGGAGTCAAGGTAACCCTGCCCCCAATGACACTCCCTGAGAAGCCCTGCCCAGTTACAGAGCACACCCTAAGCTGTCCGGCCCCCAAAGGTGAACCTGGCGCTATTGGCTGATGTGCCTCCAGGAAGCCCCACCCTCAATGTGACTACACCCCATTAAGGGCCTGTTCCTAATGCTACCCCTGTCTCAATGACAGACATGCCTCATAGGGAACTCAACCCCCTTGTGTGCCCACATGCCCCATGAAGGTCCCACCCCATAGGACCACATCCCTGTCATGCCAAGGAAGCACCTGAGAAGCCTTGTCTTGTGGCGTGTCACTCCCCAAGGTGACCCTGCACACTCCAGGCTGTCCAAAGGTGCACCACCTTGGCCACGCCCCCGAGAACACCGCCCCCCTCCTTCCCAATAGTTCACCTTGCCCCCGCCCCCCTCCCCACCTTCTACAGCTGGTCCAGTCCCCTACTCACCGCCGCATATTCAGCGCGCACGCGTGCCGGCAGCCCCGGCTCCCCCCT